TTATGTATACTGGAACGTCATGTCATGTCCCTTTTTGTTTTAATTGTTTTGTCAATAAAATTAAAAAAAAAAAAATCTACAAGCAGGCTGAACAAAAATATTCAGGCTCTTTCCCACCTTTGTCCAAATCTGAATGCAGGTAGTCCTTGACTTACGACTGCAACTGAGCCCAAAATTTATGCTTCTAAGTGAGACAGTTGTTAAGTGAACCTCTGCAGTTCTTGAGTTAGTAACATGGTTAAGTGAATCTGTCTTCTCTCATAATAATAATAATAATAATAATAATAATAATAATAATAATAATAAGTAGTAGTAGTAGTAGTAGTAGTAGTAGTAGTAGTAGTAGTAGTAGTAGTTGGAAGGGACCTTGGAGGTCATCTAATCCAACCCCCTGCTCAGGCAGGAAACCCTATACCATTTCAGACAAATGGCTGTCCAGTCGCTTCTTAAAAACTTCCAGTGTTTGAGCATTCACCGCTTCTGGAGGCAGGTTGTTCCATTGGTTAATTGTTCTAACTGTCAGGAAGTTTCTCCTTAGTTCCAGGTTGCTTCTCTCCTTGATCAGTTTCCATCTGTTGCTTCTCGTCCTGCTTCCAGGCGCTTTGGAAAATAGCTTCACTCCCTCTTCTTTGTGGCAACCCCTGAGATATTGGAACACTGCTATCATGTCCCCCCTCGTCCTTCTCTTCATTAAACTAGACATACCCAATTCCAGCAACCGTTCCTTATATGTTTTAGCCTCCAGTCCCCTAATCATCTTTGTTGCTCTTCTGTACTCTTTCTAGAGTCTTAGCATCTTTTTTACATCGTGGTGACCAAAACTGGATGCAGTATTCCAAGTGTGGCCTTACTAAGGCATTGTAAAGTGGTATTAATACTTCACGTGATCTTGATTCTATCCCTCTGTTAATGCAGCCCAGCACGGTGTTGGCCTTTTTGGCAGCTGCAGCACACTGCTGCCTCATATTTAAGTGATTGTCCACTAGGACTCCAAGTTCCCTCTCACAGTTACTACTATTGAGCAAGGTACCCCCTATACTATACCTGTGCATTTGGTTTTTCTTGCCTAAATGTAGAACCTTACTTTTTTCACCACTGAATTTCATTTTGTTGGATCGTGCCCAGTGTTCAAGTCTATCCAGATCCTCTGACTTTGCTTGTCAGAAGGTCGCAAAAGGTGACCACATGACCCTGGGACACTGCAACCATCATAAATAGGAGGCAGTTTCCAAGTGTGCAGATTTTGATCACGTGACCATGAGGATGCTGCAATGGTCATAAGTGTGAAAAACAGTCACACGTCACTTTTTTTCAGTGTTGTTGTAACTTTGAACGGTCACTAAATGAATGGCTGTAATTCGAGGACTACCTGCATATACGGGACTCAGGGAGAATTAGACTCTGCCACTTGGTTTCATGCTAGGCCAGACTTAGTACTCCGGACTAACAACTCGGCATAACTCCCAGGGATATGGGAGTTTGCTTGAGGCCTCTAGTGTCAAGCT